TGATTCTTTTCCAAGTACCCGATAGCTGCTCATGATTGAAGTTACTAAAACATATTTCAAAGGCTGTTATATCTAAGCAGTTAAAGATCAAGTTTATTGTTTTTTCAGCAACTCCAAAAGGCTTTTGTTTTTTAATACAAGTATATGTATTTCTAGGCAAGAATATAGGGGTTTGACATTTGCCTGTCTTTTTGAAGAGTTCCCATTTCTGTGGTTAACTTTTCCCTAGGAATGTGTTTTTAAAACTGGTTTTTAAAATGTAGTATACAAAATCTTTATTTTTCCATACTTGTTTCCATGAAATATTGAGGACATGCAGTTTTATTTTCAGTCTGTGACTCGGTGTTGGTGAAATTCTTTTGTATTTTTTCCTACATTGTGAACATTTCCATATTGTTTGTCATCAACAATTGTGTTCCTAATGGCCTGTTGTGACTTTGTGACCTTTGTTTCAGAGAAAATGCTTTCCAGATTGAATTCATGATATTTTGAGGGAAAAGTTTTCAACTTTGTTAAGAGTTGTAAAATCATGAGTGGCTCTTCCCCACACTGCATGTTAGTAAGAGAACCAACACATTCTTCTTGTAACTTAAGTATTTGTCCATGGTTTTATTATCACAAATCTTCTTGTAACTTAAGTATTTGTCCATGGTTTTATTATCACAAATCTTACTTTGATTATACCTCCAGTGAGCTGTTTAATGCATTTTTTTGGTCTTCAAACAATTAGGTATTTTTAAATTTAATTGGAAATAAATTATGCTTTCAAAATATAACCAAATTTAAATATAACAAATTAAAAACAAATTATTGGGAAGCCTGGGTGGCTCAGTGAGTTAAAACCTCTGCCTTCAGCTCAGGTCATGATCCCAGGGTCCTGGGATGGAGCCCCGCATCGGGTTCTCTGCTCAGCAGGGAGCCTGCTTCCCTTCCTCTCTCTCTCTCTGCCTGCCTCTTTGCCTACTTGTGAACTCTGTCTGTCAAATTAAAAAAAAAAAAAAAAGAAACTTTAAAAATAAATAAATAAATAAATAATTACCTAAATATTAGCAATATTTCTATTCCTGCTAAAATCACAGAGACAAGTGGGTTTGACATGTAACTCACTTGTTACTGAAGGACAATTATTACTTGTGTTTTCATGAAGGAGAGTCCTTTAAGATATCAAAGGATAATAAATAAGATTTTAACATAGTATTTTTCCATTAGTGTTCCCCCAGATAAGACGCTCCACTTGGTAGGTGAACCAAATCAGCAGTAGTACTGTTCATTAATCATCACAATAGCCCACCAAAAGAAGATGTGTCTTTCTGGGTGTACAAACACATGTACTCTCCTCCCATTCCCGCCATCATATGCCCTTTCTAACACACAACCACAGATTCCCACCATGCTTTTTTTTTTTTTAATTCATTCATTTTGTCTTTTGTTTTGAAATATTTTCAGATTAACATAGGAGTTGAAAATCCCTTCACCCAGAGACTCATTCATGTTTCACTGTCTCAGTGTATTTTATAGCAAAAGGCTCCAGTCCTGGAACGTGCTTTGCATTTATTAGTTATGTCATCTCCACCAGACCAGAATAAGTCCTACTTAGACCTTCATGACCTTGACTCTACAAGAGTACAGGCCCATGATTTTCTAGAATGTTCCTGAATTGGTGTGTCTGATGTTTCCTTCTGATTGGATTTAGGCTTTCCATTTTTGGCTGTATCATAGCAGTGATGCTATGTTATTCTCATTGTATCTTACAAGGTGGTTAGTGACATCAATATGCTGTGCCACCAGTGATGTTCACTCTGATCATTTGAGTAAGGTGATATTTGCCAGGTTTCTTCAGTATGAAATTACTGTTTTCCTCTTTATAATTGATAAGTATTTTGTAGGAAGAGACTTTGAGCCTCTGTAAATATTTATTTCTCATCTAAATTTCATTTACTAGTTTTAGCATCCATTTTTGTTTCTTGCCTGAATTATTACTTAAATGATTGTCAAATGGTGATTTCTAAATGAGCTATTCCTTCTACATTTATAAGTTAGCATTCTCTGAGGAAAAGCTTTCCCTCCTCCCTATCTAATGTATTCATTCATGTATTTCTATCACTGTGGGCTCATGGATTTCTCTTTTATTCAGTGAGGTATCATGTGCCATTATCATTATTGGTTGGATAGTCTGATTGCCTCAGAACTGGCCGGGGGAAGCCTCTAAAGCTAGCTTCTGAAACGCTCCCACCATTCCGAGACCACATCTGACATTCCAGACTTATCTTGTACTTTCTGTCCCAACCTGGATTCACCTATTTCTTTGAGATGCCTGGTTCCTGATATTTAGAAGCTAAGATCTAGACCCTTGGTGTGCTCCATGCTACGGAGGTGTTATGGTGGTCAGATCCTCCCAGGACATAGAGCCAGGAAATAGATGTAGGTGTATACCCATGGATGTGTCTTAACACACACATACTTTTAATTCTCTATCTGTCTATCTATCTCTCTAGAACCATAAATTCACCCTGATACATTTAATTCCAAACAACATCATAGACTTTATTCTAGCTTTCCCCCTTTTCAAATTTGCAACTCTCTTTTCAGGCAGTAAAGAAGAACATGATTCCAATTAACCTCAATATATTTATTGGTTTGATCAGTCTACCCCTATGTAATAGTCTCCTGACTCTTCTGTTGGCTGGATGCATTGCATAAACCCCTCATCATAAATTCTTGCTACCATGTCAGCTAAATAAACCTTTGGCCTTGGTGTAAATACTTTCCATAGTCTGTTAGTCCATTCACTTTCTGTTGTCCCTCTGCATTTGAGTGTGCACATGCACACATACACACATATAAAACATCGGCAATTTAACAGGTAGGGAAACACTCTTTTACCCCATGGGAAGATGTAATTATAAATGGATATAATATGAATTAAATGACAGTATCTTCAATTAGTGAACAAGTTCAAGATTGTAGTGATAGAAACACCTATTTTCATTGATTTCAGGATGTAAATGCTCTTCAAATAACATCAATTTTAAAATGTAAGTTAATTCTTCCTTATTAAGAATCATCTACATGGTTACTTGCAATACATTTATTTTTAAATACTCTAAATTCAGTAAGGGGTGTTGCAACTTTTGAAAGAAAATATGCATAAGGCTACTGGTTCTTCACAAAGGCAATTTTCTGTTTTTGTAAAACTATCCGAAAGCACAGGAGACTCACATGATGCGAGAGCGTTAAGAAACATATCAACAAATAACAACAAAGGTTTGCAGTCTGTTTGCATAAGGCAAATAGTATGCAAATAACTAAGCCAAACCTTTATATTAGGGGAGAGCAGTGTCTATATATTTGCAGAAAAATGTATTGGAATGCACAGAGTTGCTCGACAACACATGGCCTTGCCGTATTGTTGTCAACATCTGAGGTACGGCTTTGCAGGGAGTTTGCTCGCGGGCTATGACTTTACTATTTCTCTCTGACATAGCTGTTGTTCAGTGGCTAAATTGCACTCTTCTGTGCTCCAGTATTTGCATTTACATTACAGACCACAGTGTGAAGGATGTTTCTTATTAGCGAAGCATCTATGTTGATTCCCCATTGCTCTGTGGTTTGTATCCCGATTATGAGAAAGTTTAAGACTCACCTTGGCATGTTTATGAGCCCTTCTTTTGTGTGTGCTTCTCAGGATTCGTTACGCAATGGATGGCCCAAGAGAGAGAGAGGACATCCTAAATACTGGAGGATCACAATTAACTGGAGAAGGGTGATTAATAGGCTCTTAAAAGCTACTCTGTCCTGCCAATATGCCTTCATCTCTGCTCCCAGTCATAGGGTTATGTTTGCCTTTCAGACTGACTCGCAATTAGAATATGGAGATTTTATGCCTGATGGTTTCATTCATTAATTCAAAGACTGTAATAGGTCCTTGACTTGTTTGGATTGAACTTTTGGACAGCTAGCAAATGACCTCAAGTATATTTTGCTCAGCAACAAATTTGAATCCCTCAGGCTGCATGGTTTGTGTGTGGGACCTGTCACCCACTCACCAGTGCATCAGCTGAGCCGACTGTCCTGGGTTTGCAGCTCAGAAGGTGGTGCTCCTCCCTTCTGTTATTTCAGGGACAGCCATGTGGAAAAGTGTATGCTTTGCAGTATTCTCCAATTTTAGCATTCGTGAAGCTCTTCTGTCATCTTGCTCGCTCCTTGCATGCCTCCCTTCTTCTTCCGTTCCTTTCTCTTGCCTAATAAGGCTCTTGCTCTTAAACCTAAGGTTTTACATTCCACAGAATTTTTTCATTAAATTTTTTTCCTCATTCTTTCCAGGCAATGTTGCTTTTATGCTATACAATCTTCAGCATCTATATTTCAATTAAAAAGAATCACGTTTATTCCTTTATAGGAGTTCAGTGCTCTCCTCTCTGTTCTTGTCTGATACTTACTTTGGCTTCTGTTTTCATTGACAAAATTACCTGCAGCACTAGTTAGCTATGGTATAATAATATAATAATAGTTGGAAAGACCTGAACTGAAAATCAGCTCTGAAAACTACTAGTGGTGTTGGCACATACTTAAAACCGAGGGTCAATAGTACCTATTTTATCAACTCATTGTACATCTCGAAATAAATAATGTATTACAGTGCTCACCCCAAACCGGACATATAGTACAGAAGGGAAATGTTAGGAGAAATTCCACTAGGCAGGATCTTTGACTCTTACGGTCATAAGCACCTAATACAGTGCCTGGCATACAGTAAGTACTTAATAAATGCATGTCAGCTGTTGCAGTTTTACTTATATTGTCATAACTCTCATCTTAATGCTTTGAAAATTAAAGATAAGCAGGGTGCATATAAAACACATACTAAAGGATATGGTACAAAGTAGGTGATTTGGCTAGAATGGTATTTTTAGAGACATATCATCAGGCAAATGATTGGTTAGCATTCTTGGGAAAACATCTTCAGAAAGACTAAAGGTCTTTTGTTTTGTCCTTCTCAGGCATCCTGTTTTCCCTGGTGGTGATGCTATATGTCATCTGGATCCAGGCAGTGGCTGACATGGAAGACTACAAAAACATGAAAATGAGAGACTGCTTGGAGTTCACCCCTTCTGTTGTCTATGGCTGGTCATTTTTCCTGGCCCCGGCAGGGATATTTTTTTCTTTGCTAGCTGGATTACTGTTTCTAGTTATTGGGCGGCATATACAGATACATCACTAATCAAATCATTGCCACCAGCATTTTCTTGAGAGATTTTAGAACAGAGCATTTCTTTTTCATTTTGTTTTGGTGATCCCAGCATAGAATTAGTTGTTGAGCTGGTATTTGAATTTTGCTTTTACATTTTACTTGTGATTTCCTCTAATAGGAAGGTCCTAGAATATTTCCAGACATGTTTCCATCCTCTGTAGGTGCTATCAAGAACCTAGTTCTCTTAGGAGCAGGTAAGATGGGCCTCCCTTTCACTGCACCTGTTAGAGCTCATGCAGGTTACAAAGGCCTGATAATGGCATAACACCACCCCCGGGCCAGTGAAGCTTTGACTTAAAACTTCCTTCTTGACATTCACTTCTGCTGATATTTAAAAAACAAAACAAAACAAAACAAAAACAAAAACAAAAAAAAAGAAAAAAAACTTTGGAGAATAATTAAAATGGAAAACATGTGTTGTCAGAGAACTTCCTCCATTTCCTCTCCACACACATGCATCTCCACATATGCATTACTGCGTCTTGTAAGCCTATTATTTCTAACTTAAAAATAGATAGCAGTGTGCTTGTGTCAAGAACCAGGCAGACCCATCAGTTCAAATGGGCCACAACCAGACTGAGGATGCGTACTTATTCCACTCTCTGGCCAACAGGACTTTGGTCACCTAATCGTACTCCCTTAATTGTGCGTCCTTATATAAACCTTAAACTGTGTTTAAAAGTGACTCATCTGTACACCAAATTACATTTAATGCAGAATAGATTGTTAGGAGCTCAGTGGATTAATTGAAAATATGTAAAAACAAGGCACCTGAGCTTAGTACTTCATTCTGTTTGATATTTTAAAATTCCTCCTTAAAATTATATGCTAATATGTTCAGCATGTGAAAATTTATTGATGAAATGTGCTTTTAATGTGCACTAGCTATAAACTTTCAAAATATTTCCATATGAAATGATAATAGCCTTGCTTTATTAAAGACTATGAAATATTAACTTTTCCCAAAGTTTTATGGTAGTTCTTCTGATAATTTGATTCCCTTTATTATTGTCTCTCAGTTTCTTCATCTTTACAACAGATATTTTAACATTTACAGATACACTAGTTTCTTCCTTTAACCTCTTGGAAGAACACTTGGTGCTGGTTGGTGGATAATTCTTTCTTATTTGCTAGTGTAGACATGCAGACATTTTCCATATCAAAGATGTTTGTTTGGCACTAATTTTGATTGAAATCAAATCCATCTGAGAAGCCCACACTGCATTTGCATTTTGGAAACCTCCCCGGAGGAGCAGTTTGGTGTTGATGAGGGAACAGAGAACCTGCATGGTATGCAAGCTTTGATCTGGGCACAGCATTTTACTTTGCAGCTGTCATGAATACCTAAGGCAGGACTCAGAGGAAAATTAACAGTGACCACCTAGAAGATGCTGGGGGAACTAGGGGCTATTGCTTTCCTTTCAGTCTTTCCCCTGATGGAGAGATTGCCTGTCTTCTGGACACATCCGTACCTTCCATTAACCTGTTTCCACGGGAGGGATTTCGAATAGCCACGCTCTGAGCTATCTGCAGAATCTTGAGGGCATTTTAGTGTTTAGGGGCAGGGAGGACGAGCATGTGATAAAAACAAAACACAAAAATATAAGACAAAAAACCAAAAGCTTCAGGGGTTTAACTGGTTTCTCAAGCCATCTGAGTTATAAACGTTTTTTGTGGTATTCGCCTTTGTCTTTTTCTGTTTTCATTTTTATATTGCTCCATTTACTTCTTTGCTTTTGGCTTGATTATTAGAAAAATAATTATGGGTTCTGTTATGCATATTTACTGTGATATTAAGTTATGGCATGCCATTAAGTTTTCCAGACGATGCTAGATGTATTTGATTAGTTCATGTCATCTGTAAATACAATTCCTTTTTGTAGATCTTTGGAATGGAGCCTTTTTTCTGGTGTATTATATGTCATTTAAATTTCACATACAAGCTGCTTTCAGTAAAGGTTTGAATATTTATAAATTTCAGATGGTTATCCTCATTTTCTAATACACTTATGCGGTTACCATATATTTATCATAAGGCAATTGGCTGACTATCTGATGTGTATGACACTTTTACACAGATACATACTTTGGAAGTATTTCATAGTTGTAATGCATCAGTCACCTTAATTCAGATGCATTTCCTGATCCACTTACCAGCAATCCGTGGAAGGAGGGAAGGTGAGTTGTGCGTGCTGTGTCAATAAGTAAATATACTTGAAAATAGCAGAAATATGCAGTATATTCTTGTAACAGCCTTATGTCTGATTTAGGATAGTATGTGTGTCTCTGTTTGGTGTATTGACTAATTCTCAGAAGCTTCCAAATACTGTGTTAAAACCTTTTTTAAGAGAGTTGATTTTGCATCATGAAGTTTCAATGTAACAAATAAGATATCTTTCTGGTGACATTCTGGAAAGAATGAAGTAAGAAGGCAGTGAGTTATGCCCTTGCATTTTGGGGAAAGCTGTGATCTTCCCATATTGTATTTGTTAGGGTTTAGCCTATGCACTGGGACTAGCTGGAAAAACCATAGAGAGAAGCTAAATGATGATGTTCAATATAGGGGCTGAGGGTAGGACTTAAAAAAAAATACCACTAGTATGTTATTACTGGCCAGTTAGTCACTTTTATGACTAATGTATGAAATGTATTTATTGAATTTGAATATTAAATCCACTTATAAAGACATATGATGGATGAGATGTTAGCATTTGATTCTTAATCTGTTTATCATCAGCACATGCGTGTGTGTGTGTGTGTATGTGTGTGCGTGTCTACCCAGAATTATAGACTTGGATAAAAGAGATAAAGTGAATGATAGAAATAAATATAATTGAGATAAGCAAAAATTTAAAAATCAGGGTTGGGGGACAGTCATAGAGTTTATGTCCCTGAGTACTATTTTACCTGTTTTCCTCAACTGATGATTGTCAGTTCAGGTAAACACATAATTTGACTTACATTTTCATGAAAGAAACGAAATTAGGCTTGTGAAGAGGCTTAGAATGTCATTAAAGATTAGACAGATAGGGGATGCTAGTAAAAGTAAGCTGTACATACATCTTCAGGGGGGTAGCATTATGGGGAAAGACCCATAGTGCTGGGGTTATATGGAAAGAAATATATTAACAGGATGAGTCCCCAGTTTGATTTTGGTGGGATGCCACCAGGAATGAGGGGGCTCATACAACAGAGATGAAATAGAAACTACATTTTTGTTGATTGTCTGAGAACATTAAGTATATAAAGACATTTCCTCCATGATGACCGAGTGTAGGTTCAGAAATTCCAACAAAAACTTAAGAAGACAGTATATTTGATGTTAAAAGCCAAGGACGGTGGGTAAATATTAAACATCATGTATATTATAATGAACATAAAGCATGTACAGGAACATTTAACCTGGTTAGCAGGGTCGGAGGAAAGAAAGAACAAACCACCAACTTGGGGTTAGGGTTTCTGAGCTAGCTAACCAAGGCAAGTGCTAGGACCTCTGTCTCCACGAAGATTAAGATCAGCCTGGACCTGTCTGCAGGCATAGGAAGTATTGGAGACAAGTCTGAAATGACAGTGGAGTACTAAGAAGAGTCCCACTTTGGCTTCCGAAAGGTCATGTTTCCCACTAGTGCGTCGCTGTGATGGGGAACAATTGAAGAGGCAATTGGCTGATAGACCTTTATAAAATGATATGTCTTTGGATGTAGAGAATCATATGGCATGTCTAACCATTCTGTTCTATTTGTAAGGCATCTATAAGCAAATAAATTAGAATGATTTTGAATTCAAGTAACGATTTTTCTGGTTTATACAAATGACAGTGATAGTCAAAATTGGCTTTATGAAATAAGTGTGGTTGGAGTAATTGGCATCCTGTACTGACACTGAGTATTGTGTGGATAGTCTAGGGGAGTGGAGGCTCACTGGGATAAAATAAGTACACAGGCCACAAAAATTTTAATATTCCCATTCTTTTGGGAGTCCAGGAGTTATGGTGACGTAATTCACTAAAAACGTAAATAGTCCCCCCTTTACATGGCAGTTGTTTTTATTTTTCTTAGCATCTCTCTTTCCATTTATTCTAGACAGAGACTGCCACTGTTAAAAAATTTACCAGTGCTTACAGATTGGATTGTCTTTGAAAACTAGCTAAACAAATAGGTATTTGATTAATACAGCTTTAAAAAGAATGCTATATAAAGAAGAATGCTTGTTGCCTCATATTTTGGCGTGGTTTATATTGACACTATACGCAGTATTGATATATTGTCTTCACTCCCCCCAATGCAAGACCTTTGTTTTTCTCAAGAATTTTATGGGTATATGTAAATGCCTTGAGAAATGTAAAACAGAAATTTGGAATAACCTCTGTGTATGTGTGTGTGTGTTTGTGTGTTGTGAACATATACCCACATACCTATATGTGCTTATAGTTATGTATGTGTTGGAATTTATGCATGTATATATATGGTTTTGGATAACAATACATATATATTTGTCAATAGACAGGTCTGAATATATACGCACATGTATACATAATCCATGTGTGTTTATGAAAATATTTTGTACATATAAGGTATATATGTTTATATATAATAAATGCCTAAATTTATATCATATGTGCATATTGCAAATATCTGTCTGTCTTGGGAGTTCCTGAGCTCTTAAGGTTTGCTGAAGGGGAGGGTGTATTTTATCTTTATGCTATTGCCAGCCTAGCCCAGCGATGAGTGAGGAATATAGGGGAGACTCAGTGAATGCTATCAGAGCCTCTCTTCCTTAGATCCAGGGCTTATGTGATGATGCCTGTGGATGGGTTATGTCTGACCCTATACATGCCTAATGGCAATGACCCTGCCTTTGAATGTCTTATAACAACTGATACCTAACCATTAATTAATATTTATTCAATAGTAAGAAATTTTGCCAGATAAAAGAATTCCTTTCTAAAGCAACATGCCTTGTTGATACATTTTCTGAATCCTCCTGCAGAAGGTTAAGCAAACTGGCTGCTTCATGAACTCCTTATTTGGGTCACTTGTAGGAAGGATCCTCTGGTGTGGTGGGAAAGGTTTTAAATCTATATCTGAAGACCCACAATCCAATCCTGGATTTTAAACTTATAATTTGACAAGTTATTCC